TTCCCCATTCTTTTTTTTTTTTTGGAAAGGGTTTTGCTATAGGGTGCGTGTGCTTGCCAGAAAGAGAGAGAGAGAGAGACAGAGAGATAGAAAGCGAGAAATCATCCCCTAGGGGGGATGGCCACGCCGCAATCCCTTCTCCTCCATTCTCCTCTCAGGATCTTGGGCACGCACACGCACGCGCACGCGCCTGGCATCAGTTTAAGCCGCTGGGTCCAGGACTCGAACTACGGTAGACTACATGGGAGTCCAGCAACATAGCCATTACGCTAACTGCTGGTCCCTAAGGACATTCTTTTTGTAGTCCTGTGTTTTAATTTCTCTTGTGTATGTAATACTGGGTTATGCTATGTGTATTTTAACCTTACTAAAAACTGCCAAACAGTTTTCAAAATGGTTGTACCAGTTTATACTTCTATCAACAATATGTAACAGTTCCAGTTTCTCCACATCCTTATCAACACTTGATATTCTTGAGTCTTTAATTTTCGCATTCCCATGTATAAAATTGTGTCTGAGAACAAATTTAGTATACATTTATTTCCCTGATGACTAGTAAGTCCTGGATACATCGTTTCTTTTTTTTCCCCCTAGTGTTGTACTTATAACCTCATCAGCAAACTGCCAATTAGATTTTCTCCCATATTGCCTTCTAGACATTTTATCGTTTCCCATTTTACATATTTGCTTATGGTCCATATTCAGTTAATTTTTGTGAAAGGTCTGTATCTAGATTCATTTTTTTTTACATGTTGACTTTCGATTTTTCTAGCACTGTTCAAAAAGCTTTTTCCATTAAATTGCCCTTGTGCTTTAATCAAAGATTCATCTACTATATACGTGTAGGCCTATTGCAATCTGTTCTGTTCCAAGATTTATGTGTCGGTTCTTTTTTTTTGAGAGGTTTTTGCTACAGGGTGTGTGTGCTCGCCAGAAAGAGAGAGAGAGAGACAGAAAGCGAGAAATTGCCACTGAGGGAGGATGGCCACTCTGCAATCCCTTCTCCTCTATTCTCCTCTTGGGATCTTGGGTGCCCACATGCACCTGGCATGAGTTTAAACCACCGGGTCTGAGACTCAAACCGTGGTCGCCAACTGCTGGTCCCTTGTGTCTGTTGTTAAGCCAATGCCACAATGCCTTGCTCACTGTACCTTTATGCAAGTTTTGAAATCAAGTGATGCGACACCTCATGCCTCAAAGTTTCTTTTTCTTCAGTGTTTCATGGGCTATTCTAGTCCTCTACCTGTCTATATAAGGCTTAGCTTCAATCTGTTAATACATAAAAACTAATTTGTTGGGATTTGGCTTATGATTATGCTGTATGTATAAAGTTGGGAGAAACAGACATCTTAATGATATTAAATTTTCTAATTTGTAAACATGAAATATCTCTACATTTATTTAATCTTTGATTTTTTTCATCATTTTTGTAGTTTTCTGGATACTTCTATGTATTTTGTTAGATTTATGCCTCCCTATTTAATTATTTTGGGTGCTATTATAAATAGTAATTTTTGTCAAATTTCACACTAAATATGCTTCCTATTGGTACACTGCAAAGCGAATGCCTTCAGAATACTGACCTTGAATCCTTGCTGTACTCACGCATTAGTTCCAGGAGTTTTTTTTTAATAGATTCTCTGGGAATTTCTACACAGACAACAATAATGTTATCTGTGAATAAAGACAATTTTATTTCTTTTTTTTGGGGGGGAGGGGAGAGGTTTTTGCTATAGGGCACGTGCACTTGCCAGACAGACAGAGAGAGACAGAGAGACAGAAAGCGAGAAACCACCCCCCAGGGGGATGGCCACGCCACAATCTCTTCTCCTCCATTCTCTCGAGATCTTGGGCACGCACACACACGCGCCCGGCATTTGTTTTAAGCCACCGGGTCCAGTCCAGTGACATAGCTGTTATGCTAACTGCTGGTCCCAAGACAGTTTTATTTCTTCTTTTCCAGTCTATACACCTTTTACTGTGCTTGTGTTATTACTGCATTAGCTGCAACTTCCAGCACAATGGTGAACAGAAGTGGTAACAGCAGATATAATACGAGACTATACTGATATGCAAAGATGAATGATTTTTGTACCATCTACTTTCCATTGTTTCTCATCAAGGTACAGTAAGGAATTAATTATATACAGGGCATCTTTTTGCTTTCAAACTCCTCCATGATGGGAAAAATAAACCTCACAGGCAAATAAATGTGTCATTAAAAGTAAATCCATTTAAAAATCATTTTTAGTTCAGGAATTTTTTAATTTCCAAAATATATAAAACTTACCATGGACTAAACTGTTGGCAGGTGCTACAAGAGTATCCCACAAACATATGTTTCTGGTAAGACAAAAAAGAAGATTCTTTCTTGAGTGACACAAAAAGCAAATAGAATAAAAAAAAAGTATGTTTCATATAATTACCTAACAATTGAAATCTGACTGTCACAGGAGGTTCTTAAATTGATAAAGGTGTTAAATACAAGTAATCAACGAATCTACATATGATTGTTTTCTTTTTTTTTTTTGAGAGATTTTCACTGTACGGCGCGTGCGCTCGCCAGACAGAGAGAGACATAGAGACAGAAAGCGAGAAATCACCCCCCAGGGGGGATGGTCATGCCACAATTCCTTCTCCTCCATTCTCCTCTCGGGATCTTGGGCACGCACGCACACGCGCCCGGTGTGAGTTTTAAGCCACCGGGTCCGGGACGCGAACCGCGGTCGAATACATGGGAGTCCAGCGACATAGCCATTATGCTAACTGCTGGTTCCCCATATGATTGGTTTTTACACAAAATTTAAAAACCTTACAAACTGAATTCCTTCAGGTTAACATATACTTACAGATAATACTATATGAAGGCTGAAAACGCAAGCTACCTTTTGTGTTCACTGATTCTCTTAACAGCTGGGCCGACACATACAAATGGCAGGAGACACTGCATTTTCTATATGGAAATACTGGGTCGTCGGAAACGTCGTCTAATGACTCAACATATAAGTAAGGAATTTGTACAGAAGTAGGTCAGAGACTCCTCAGTCCTGCAAAGTGAGGCTCAGCAACCTCTGTGGGCCTTTATTTCAGAATTCAGTTGTAAAAAGGGAAACCAAAAGTGGGATGAAGAGTTGGGATCAGGAGAAGACTCTTTCTTTGAAACTTAGCTTTTTTTGGAGTGCAGTATGTATGAGGATTAACTAAATTAAGTAAATGTCAGGGCCAATAAATAATAGTTCCTCTTTTGCCACAAGATTTTTGTTGGTTTGTTTCAAGAGGTTTTTGCCATAAGACACATGCGCTCGCTGGAGAGAGAGAGTGTGTGAGCCAGTGAGAGGAAAAGTGAGAAATCACACCCCAGGGGTATGGCCATGCTGAAATCCTTTCTCCTCCATTTTCCTCCCAGGATCTTGGGCACGCACACACACACACATGCCCAGTGTGAGTTTCAAGCCTCCGGGTCCAGGCCTCAAACTGTGGTCATTTGAAACTTAGCTTTTTTTGGAGTGCAGTATGTATGAGGATTAACTAAATTAAGTAAATGTCAGGGCCAATAAATAATAGTTCCTCTTTTGCCACAAGATTTTTGTTGGTTTGTTTCAAGAGGTTTTTGCCATAAGACACATGCGCTCGCTGGAGAGAGAGAGTGTGTGAGCCAGTGAGAGGAAAAGTGAGAAATCACACCCCAGGGGTATGGCCATGCTGAAATCCTTTCTCCTCCATTTTCCTCCCAGGATCTTGGGCACGCACACACACACACATGCCCAGTGTGAGTTTCAAGCCTCCGGGTCCAGGCCTCAAACTGTGGTCAGCCATGTGGCAGTCCAGCGATGTAACCACTACATCATTAGCTGGACCCGCCATACGCTTTCCTAATATGTAGGGAGTAATACGGAGAAATGCAATCCACTAACAAACAAGTATTTTCTCCTACAATCAAGTCTTACTATTGGAATATTAAAAATACAAAAGGGATGCATTTCTGAAAGCTTATTGATTTATTTCCTTCATGAGACAGAGACAGAGAGAGATAAAAGTACCTTGACAGAGGCTTTGATTTCCCTCTGCTCCCCCAGGCCTGCAGCCAGCCCACCTGGGGCACACACACTGGCATGTCAGGCAGGTGCAGGGAGACCCAGGACGCAGACCTGGAGCTTTCCCACATGGCTTCAGCACTGTGCAGCGGCGTCCCCTGCATGTACCACCCTGGCTGTGCCTGGATTTTGTTTTTAACAGCACTAGAATTTCCCTCACTTTACAATGAGTATGCTGAAAATGCTCAAGGTAAGAAACAAGTCTTTATACTAAAAATACCTACAGGTATAATTATAAAAACATTTTTGACTCCCAAGAGCGCAAACACTAAGAAAACGTTCAACTCATATGCAGTTCGGCTTCTGTCATTCTCTCTTACCTATTGTCAGTTGAAAGGCCAGCTGTAGCTATCAGAGACGAAGAGCTGACGAAGACAAAATCATTCGCTGTTTTGTTATGACACTGCCAAGTCTGGAATGGTTATAACAGTGTTACTGCGGTCTCTAAAAGTTTCATAACCAGGGAGAGGCATCATTCAAAAAGTGATCATTTCTTTTACGGCTCTCTTAATTCCTCACACCGCCCACCCGTTCCCCCGGAAATTTAGAAAAGTTGTAAAAGTTATGCAGAGAATGTTCATATACTCTTTCAATAACTTTGAACATTCTGCCACAATTGTTCTGCCTATTCTCTTTCACAGATGTAGACACAAACACACTCGCACATTCTCTCTCACATTTTTCCTGAACACTTATGTAGGCTGCATATGTTATGACTGTTCACTACCAAGACCTTTGCTGCCATTCAACCAAAGGCTCAAAGGGAAACATAAAGAAGTTAAACCTCAAATACTTCCCTCAGCATATTTAGTGACATTTTTTGTCTTGAGAAGAAACTGCATTTTAGCATAAAAAAACAGAAAAATATGTCATGGCTTTCTTGATGACATTAAGAGAAACCAGGATTAAATTATTTGTTAAATTAATTAACATCATGTATTTTCCAGAAAAATTCAAAATTCAAAATAACTGCTCAAATATGTGAATAAAAATTACTAATAGTCATCAAAATTAGGAAAACCTGTAGCATTTCTCATTCCTTCAAATAATAAATTATAAGGTTTAGTCCGTTATAAAAGCTTCCAATTATGTTTAAATATTTCTCTTTTTAATAAAAAGTTCATTTTTAAAGTATGCCACAATCGTCACATAAAAACTATTCTTTTTAATCATCTCTCCAGTTCTCTGGAGCATCACTGGAACTAGGCTACAAGATACGTCCTTAAATCAAACAAAACCAAATTCTGAGAAGATATTTACATGCACAATAATCCAATTTACCATATTTAAAAGTTAAGAAAAGAAAAGCAGTCTGTTAGAAAACATGCACTTGCACATCTAAATCTGTTGACTTAATGAAGAAAAATTAAAATTCTTTCAAGGTACTCTAATCAGCCTTTCCTTGCTTGTTTCTCTTAGATCAGTACTGTATTCTAGCACTTAATGTAATTACCACAATCTTAACTGGTAGTAACTTCTTCCTAGTAAGTATTGCTTAGCACTATAAATGGCTTCCCTGAAGAATACAGGAAATATTTATTTAGTGTCATGTGAAGCTGCAGAAGGCTCATTAAGTCTGCATAGTCCTGTATGGAGCTGTATCAATATTCTAAAAAAGAGATGGATAAGAAAATAACAATACTAACTACAGGGGGTCCCTCCTATTGGTTCATTCATAAGGAGTAACTGCAGAAAATAACCAAACCCACTGGTTTGTTCATCTTTCTATTTAGGTATAATACTACTGCAGTTCAGTGAGATTAACCTGGGTGAAGTAATCTCCAGGTTACACGGGGCTCTGGAAATACTATGTTGGTTTACACATGTCAACTTTCCAAACTACTAATGACTAAATTATGCTTCTAAACTACTAATGACTAAATTATGCTTTCCAAACTACTAATGACTAATTATGCTTCTCCAGAGTAATTTTCACATAATACAGGACAGGAGCCTGTAGTAAAGTGAGGATCAAAGACTAAATAGATGTTATGTACTGGCTTTAGTATTTCTTGCCTCAAATACTTATTCTTACTGCCTTTAAAATTAAAAATTCAACATTTATTTAAAGGTAGAAATTCTTGGCTTACCAGATATGGCTTAGGCATGGTTCCAGTAATTGGACAACACTTCCAGTTTGTTTGATACAGACTTAAATATCCATCAGCATCAACTATTCCAAACTTAGAGAAAAAAAAAATAAAAGTGTTTAATATAAATGCAAAAGCACATAGTTATTCTTACCTTCACTGTGACATCCACATTTTGATTGTTAAAGATTTGAATAACACATTGCTTGACTTTTCCTTGGATGGATCTATTGGGTCATCTTAAAAGTCATGAGGCATTTTTGTGTAAAAAAGCAGAAAAATATGTCATGACTTTTACAATGACCCAATAGTTGAGAAAAAGATGTAGCCACTACTTAACAAAAATCCCAGGGTGGCCATAAAGGAAACAAACATCAGGACACCCATTTTATTGCACTAACCAACAGCACAGTCTGAATATCTTCTCTTAGGTACTCCAAAAACAGGAAACTGGATTAACATATAAACTGTGTGACAAAGCCCCATCATGCATAAAACTTTGTTCATTTGGGAGGAAAAAAAAGGTAAGGACTTCCAGAAACATACAGTAAGAAAAACTCCTAAACAAGAGTAGAAAATAAAGTGAAGTACAGATTATCGCAGTAAGGGCCAGCCCTGTGGCTTAGTGATCCCAAATGGCCAGTTAAGACTTGAATCCCAGCTCCAGAGGATTTAAAAACACAGGTGCATATGCCTACAAGCACTGAATCCTGACAAGATGGAGAAATGAAGCAGAAGGGATTGTGGTATGGCCATGCCCCTTTCGGGGGTCTTTTCTCCCTTTCTCTCTATCAAGTACACGACCTTCTGACAATTAAAAAAAAAATTATTAATTTTTTTTTTGTATTTTGGATTTCATATTTAATTATACATCTTTGTAAGGCACAACAACATGGATTTTCATAGCATACAGACAGTGTGTGACAATAAAATCAAGGATAATACCATATTCATTTTCAACAAAGAATACCACATTTGGTGTGTGTGTGTGTGTGTGTGTGTGTGTGTGTGTGTGAAGGATGACTAGGAATTTTTTTTAAATTCGGCTGTGGTATATCACTCCACAACCTATTTCCCCATATACCTGCATTCTTGTGAATGTTAAATGCTTTTCTCCTGATCCCCTCCTACTCCTTGTCACTCACTCATTCCCATGTAGTCTCTGATATCTACAGCTGTCCTCTCTACTTCTATGCCTTCAAGTCTTTCCATTTCCACCAGAGTGCAACCTTTCAGTATGTACCTCACAAGGACATACAGTGTTTGTCTTTCATAGTCTGCCTTACTTCACACAGCATAAAGCCGTGTGGACTTGACCACTTGGTATCGAATGACATGATCTCATTTTTTTTTTAATTAGACATGTTTTTGCTATAGGGCATGTGAGTTCGCCAGAGAGACAGAAAGTGAGAAATCATATCACACCTCCAGGGGGGATAGCCATGCCACAATCCCTTCTCTTCCATTCTCTTCTTGTGATTTTGCATATGTACACACATGCGCCTGGCATGAGTTTTAAGCCAATAGATCCAGGACTCAAACCATGGTAGACTACTTGGGAGTCCAGTGACGTAATCATTATATCATCTGCTGGTCCCAAGGTCTCATTTAAAAAAAAAAAAATGATTTTATTTAACTTTATTTATTTATTTTAATTTGAACAGAGAGGGACAGAGCAAGAGAGAGAGAGAGAGAGAGAGAGAGACAGACAGACAGACAGACAGACAGATAAGGAAAGTGAGAAAGCAAGCTGCCAGGTCCAGGACTCTAATCACAGTCAGCCATGTGGGAATCTATCACCCTTAGCCACCATGCCACCTGCAGACCCCAGGATCTCATTTTTTTTTAAAAAGGTCATTTATTTATTTATTTATTTCAGTTTGTCATAGGGCATGTGTGTTTGTCAGAGACAGGGAAGACAGGGGGAAGGAGGCAGAGGCAGAGAGAGAGAAAGAGAGAGAGAAATCGGCCCCCAGAGGGGACAGCCACGCAGCAACCCCTTCTACTATTTTCTCCTTTTTGGGATTTTGAGCATACATACAACACATGTGTCCAGAGTGATTTTTAAGCTACTGGATCTAGGACTCAAAGAGCACAGATTGGCCATGTGGGATCCAGTCACCTTAACCTCCATTCCACCTGCTGGCCCACTTGCTGTTCTTTATGGTTGAATGGTATTTGATTGTGCATATGTGTCACATTTTAAAAATCCTGTCATAAGTTGTTGGACACTTATGGGTTAATTTGATGTCTTAGCTATTATCAATAATGCTGCAATAAACATGGGTGTGCAAGGGGCTTTGCAACAGACAGAGTGATTTACTGTCCTTTGGGTAAATACCCAGAGATGAGATTACTGGGACATACGATAGCTCGATTTATAAATTTCTGAGGAACTTCCATATAGTTTTCCACAATGGCTGAACTAATTTACATTTCCACCAATAGTGCAGGAGGGTTTCCTGTTCACCAGAGCCCCTTTAGTATTTGTTCATAGCAATTTTGTGATTTTGATTTACATTTTCCTTATGAATAAGAGATGGTATACATTTTTTCAAATGCTTTTAGGCCATTTGCCATGTCTTTCTTTGAGAGCTGTCTGTTCAGATTAACTACCCATTTAAAAATCAGGTTATTTAGTTTTTTGAAGGTAAACTACTTGAGGTCCCTGTTTATTCTGGTTATTAATCCCTTATCTGAAGTCAAGTTTGCAAATATTTTTTCCCATTGTGTGAGCTGTTTTCTCCACTTATTGTTTCCTTTGCTATGCAGAAGCTTTTTAGTTTGAGGTAATCCCACTTATCCATCTTTGGTGTTACTGCCCACATTTTAGTGGTCTCATTTAAGGAAACTTTGCCACCTTCAATGTCTTCAAGTGTATCCCTTGTGTTTTCCACACATAGTTTCACAATTTTGAATTGACTTTTGTTAATAATGAGAGAGTGGATCTAGTTTTATTTCGTAAATATCCAGTACTTACAGCAGCATTTGCTGAGGAGACTCATTTCCCCACTGGACTGTCTTGTGCCCTTTGTCAAAGATAAGTTGGCTGGATGTTTTGGGGTTTATTTCTGGGTTATCAATTTCGTTCCATTGCTCCACGTGTCTATTTTTGTGCTAATACCATGCATTTTTGATCATTATGACTTTGTAATTTATTTTGAAGTCAGGTAGTGAGAGACCTCAAACTTTGTTCTCTTTATCACCTTAGTGATATGGGGGTCTTTTATGATTCCAGACACATTTTACATTTTTTTTTCTACTTCTGTGAAGAATGCCACTGGTAATTTGATAGGAATTACACTAAATTTGTAAATTAATGGGAAGAACTGACATTTAAATTATATTGAGTCTTCCAATCCAAGAACAATAAATGTCTTTCCATTATTTTTATATCATATTCAATTTCTTTCTTGAGCTTTTCATAGTTTCATTTGCAGATGCCTTTCACCTCTTTGGTTAGATTTATTCCTTAGGATTTTTGTTATTTTTGGTGATTATAAATTAGATAGTTTTCTTCATTCTGCCTCAGTGCATCACTGATTTTGTATAAAAAAGGTACAGATTTTTTAATGTTGATTTTGTATCCTGCCACTTTACTGAATTCGTTTATTACTTCTGTAAGTATTTTTGTGGAGTCTTTTGTTATTTTCTATGTATAAAATCATGTCTGCTATCCTTTAACTTCTTCCTTCCTTTGCTTTTTATTTCATTCTCTTGGTCAATTGTATTGGGTAGAACCTCCAATAATGTACCAAAAAAGTGGGGGCCTGTAGGTGGCATGAAAGTTAAGGCAACTGGACTGCACATGACCAGCTACATGGTTCAAGTCCTAGATCCAGTGGCCTGAAAGATACGCTGGGCACATGTGTGTACATGTCCAAAATCCCAAAAGGAGAATGAAGAACAGATTACAGGGTGGCCTCTCTCTCACTCTAATGAGCACATTTGTCCTATAGCAAAATCTAAAAAAAAAAAAAAAAAAAAAAGGAAAAGGAGTCAAAAAGTGGCCACCCTTGTCTGTTCCAGTTTTTAGTGGAAAAGCTCTCAGTTTTTCCCCATTCAGCATGATATTACTTATGGGTTTGTCATAGATTGCTTTTATTGTGTTGAGGAAAAAAAATCTTTTTGCTATAGGGCACGTGCACTCGCTGGGGAGTCAGAAAGCAACAGAGAGCCAGAAAATGAGAACCTCCCCCTCCCCGGGGGGGTGGGGTAGCCACACAGCAATCCCTTCTCCTCCACTCTCCTCTTGGGATTTTGAGCACAAATGCATACACACCCAGCACTGATTTTTAAGACGCCAGGTCCAGGACCTAAACTGTGGTCTTCCAGTGATGCAACCATAACAGCATCTGCTGGTCTCAGGAAATGTACTCTCTGTAGCTATCTCTTGAGATCATTAACCATGAAGTGATGTACTTTATCAAATGCTTTTTCTGTATCTATTGATGTGATCATCTTTCCTTCTGTTAATGTGATGTATTACATTTACTGTTTTGGACTATGTTGAACCATCCTTGTTTTCCTGTGATAAAACCTACTTGTTCATGGTGTATAATCTTCTTAATGTGCTGTTGGATTTGATTTGCTAAAATATTGTTGATGATTTTGCTTCTATATTCATTAGGGATATTGGTTTGTAGTTTTTTCATTATGTCCTTGTCTGCTTTTGGTATTAAGGTGATGGAGGCTTCATGGATTGAATTGGGGGAGGAGGGGCCTTCCATTTGGATCTTTAGAAATAGTTTGAGAGAGAATTGGTGTTAATTCTTACCTAAAGGTTTATATAGAATTCAGAAATGAAGTCATTGGGGCTTTAGGCTTTTCTTTGTTGGGAGACTATAACTGATTCAGTATCACTGTTTGCTATTGGTCTATTCATGCTTTCTATTTCTTCCTGGTTCAATCTCAGTATGTTGTATATGTCCAGGGATTCATCCATTTCATCTAGGTTTTCTAATTTACTGGTGTATAGTGCCTCACAGTATTTCCTTATGATCTTTTAAATTTCTGCCATATCTGTTGTAATACTGACTTTTCCATTTCTGATTCTGCCATTTCTCTATTATTCTCAGTTTGTCTAATAAATG